CTCAGGGTCACACAAAGCTAAAATCAAGACGCCAGTCAGGCTGTGTTCTTATCCAGAGTTCAGGGTCATCATCTAAGCTTATGAGGTTGTGGTGAAATTCAGTTCCTTGCAGTTTAGGATTGGGACCCTGTTTCCTTGCTGGCTGTCAGCTGGTGGCCGCCTCAGCTCATGGGAGCTGTCTACATTCCTTGCTTGTATGTCCCCTCCATCTTCAGAGCCACCAATGAACAACCTCCCTTGTGTCAAATTCCTCTCACTCTTTAAACCTCTTACCAGGAAAAGCCCTATCCCTTGTAAGGGTTCAGCTGATTAAATTATACCCACTGGTATGAACTTCATTATGCCCACCAAATTCCTGCGTTGAGGCCCTAACCCCCAATGTCACTATATTTGAAGACAGGACCTTTAAGGAGGTAATTAAGGTTAAATGATTCATAAGGGTGGAGTGCTAATCCAAAAGGATTGATGGATGTCCTTATAAAAAGAGGAAGGAATGCCAGAAGAGTGTGTGCTCTGAGGAAAAGACCCTGTGAGCACACAGTGAGAAGGCCATCATCTGCCAGCAAGAGACACCTCAATAGAAACCAACCCTGTGGCACACTGATCTTAGATTTCCACCTTCCAGAACAGTGAAAAAAGAAATTTCTGGTAAGTCACCCTGTCGGTGGTATTCTGTTAAGGCAGCCTGAGTAGACTGATATATGCACCAGGAATAATCTCCTTTTCTTAGAAAGAACCATGCCACGTAAGACAACCCAATCACAGATTGGGTATCTCGTCATATTCCCAAGTTGCTCCCATGCTAAAGGCCTGGGCATTATACAAGGCTGAGAATCATTAGGAGTCATTGTGTCAGTCCGTCTACCACAGCAGCTTCATTTGTTATAGCAACAAAACCTGTAAACAACTCAAATGTCTACCCACAGGAGAATGAATAGACGGAAGTGCAGTACATACAACAAGCTTACTACTCAGCAATAAGTGGGAGAACTACTGAGGTGTGTAACAACTTGGGTAAGGGCTGAGTGGAAAAAGCCAGTCTCAAAAGGGTTATATATTATATGGTTTTTGTGTGCATATATATCATCATGCAATATATACCATATGTAATCATACACTGTGCACGCTTTTATACAATAAATAAACAATTCAAAATCATAAAATATATACCTATGTTTCCATATAACATATGCAAATCAGTAAAAGGCAAAGCTATAGGAATGGAGAGCAGATCAGTGGTTGCCAGGGGTTTGGGTGGAGCACCGTTTGACCCCAAACGGCTGCCTGGAGTTTTCTGCGGTAATAGGACTGTTTCTGGTCCTGACTGTGATGATAGTTATACAAATCTACACGTGTGTGAAAATTCGTAGAACTGTACAACAGAAAGTCAATTTTATGGCATGATAATCTAAAAATAAAATAATTAACACAATTTACTTTTAAGGATATCTTATAAATCCCATGAGGCTCCAAAATAAGAATTTTGTAACTTTAAAATTTATGGATAATAAAAAACAAAGCTTTATAGCCACGGTCTTGATACCTGGACTATTAAATTCAGAAAATATCTAGCAATATAAAGCCACTAGATTAGTAATTTAAAGGTCTCTCTCTCTTTTTTTTTTTTACAACAAAATGCTAAATATTCTGATGAACGCCTCAGGAGATTGCAGCCATTCCCAGCCACATTAAAATATGGCCAAATTTACCACTCAGGAAAAGCATCTTGTAGCAAATTTTAATGAGTCACACCTAGAATTCCTTGTGGCAATGTCTTTCAAATTGCTAACTGGAAGTGACATGTTGCTGTATAATCAGGAGTCATCACAATCAGTTACCCCAGCTGATGTGTTAATGGGTAAATTAACATTGCCAGCCCCATGAACTAAGAAGCACAATACACTTTGAGCATTTTGAGAGGTACCTGATCTCCATTTGATTTGTATTTACCCTTATTGCACGGGACCTCTGGCTGAGGACCAGCCTGACACTAATATTGTTATTGTAAGGCCCCCAGTCTATGTGTGTAAGGAGGGCAGAGGTCCCGAGCAGCCGGCAGGGCCTTCAAGGCAAATCTTTCTTCCTGTACACCACGTGGGGCGAGAACAGGGCTTTTCTGTGAGGAGAAAACCTGCCATTCTCTTTAGGAACGAGCTACGTACTGTCAACACGTGCCTTGGGAAGAAGGAAGCCTAACAATAATGACCAGTTTGTCACTTGGAAGGTTTCCCAAAATATTTAAAACACCATCCTCACTTTAAAGGCTGCCATTGCCTCCAATTTCCCCCAAACATCTGCCGCATCAGGCAGTGCTGGCGCCCGGAGGAGCCAGTCAGAGACTAAGAATGTGGCAGGAGAGTTAGGAAATGGCAACAGGACCTCAAAGTATTCTGAGTAAAGGGCTGGCCCATGCCTTCGAGTTACAATGGCTCTTTCTCGTTCAGAAATGATCTATTCTATTTCCATTGATTGAATAATGGCCTCCTTGCCAAAATTCATTTCACCCGTTGCTCTGTGATCACAGAAGAGCAGATGTATCATAACATGGATCTTCATTCACCCCTCTGAAGTGGAGCACACCAACATTTTCACAGAGTGAATGTAGAGAATATATTGAGGAGATTCTCTTCTAAATGACTGCGCCACCTTCTGGAACATTACCTAAATCTAGATGGAGCATAAATTGCCTTCAATGGTGTATGTAAATAATTCATTAGGCAGGAAATGAGAAACACATTTTACTTTTAGAAACACAGTGACATTCTTTTTTTCTTTATAAGAAAGCTTTTTGTGACAGATGGGAATCAATCACCTGATCAAATGCCTTTTCTGCCCTTTGAAACAGCACAGTGCTAATGCATTTTCCCTTCTTTCCCTTTATAAATGTGTAATCTTATTACACACACTTTATTGCTGGTAAAGAGAAACTATGACTCTGGCTTCAGAGTGAGCAAGACACCCTCCAGAGGTTCATTGGAAGTATAGCATATTAGGTATATATACTAATGATATATTATATACTGGTATATATACTAATGACATATTATATACTAATATACATACTAACATTAGATAGTGTATTATGTATGATGTGTACATAGCATAGCATATACAGTATATTCTCTGACTTTATCTGCAACAACTTAACCCCTTCTACCAATATGTTTTTTTAAGTATTTTAAAGTCCAACACGGGGATGGCAGGATTTTAATTCATTGCAATAGAGGATGATTTTTTCAAAGTATCTGAACTGGGAAATTTGTACTAGAGCAGCATCAATCTTCTCGATTCTTTCTACAGTCTTTCCAAGCATAAAACAGTAGTTTCCCTAAAATTCCCTGAGATGAGTTTACACACACACACACACACACACACACACACACACACACACACACCAGTATATGCTATGTTGCATTAACATTTTTCAAATTTAAAGAATGCCCCGAGGGAAGGCTCACTTACTTAGTAATTGGTTCTTATGCCTTTAGCCTTGATTGGGAGGAAAGGGAAGAAAGTAAAAAAGAGAAAGAGGAAGAGGAATTAGGAAAAGTTGACTGGGAAAAGAGACGAGTGAGAGAGGCGCCGCATGAAGGCATTCCCTCTTTGGCCTGAAGAGCCCACCACGCGCATTGCTGGCAAAGTCTTGCATGACATAATGCAGGGAGTGGGGCTGGGACAGTCCCGAAGTGGCAGCACTGCCTCCGTCGTGTCACCACCACCCTTAACCCAGCACACGTTGCTCACAGCGCCTCCTACGACTGCATGCCAACAGGCCGTCATGGTGTCTGTCTATGGGTTTCTCTTCGTGCTGTTCCACACATTCCACAATGGGGAAATTATTCAAATATTAAATACTTTAAAAGTGATCATTCAGACTCTTTTAGGTGTTATCACAGACCCAACTCTGCTTGGGTCCAAGAGGGGCTCACCTTTTCATGAGTTACTCCTCACAATTGTCAGTATCTTAGAAAAATAACTCTTACTGAATTTGTATGATTATATAGACAATAGTATTAGGGAATTTAGATAAGCTAGAAGAGCAAAAACAGATTTGAAGGATGTACCTATAGCCTCATCACTCCACTATCCATAATCAGTTAATATTTTACGTATTTTAAGTTTTTAATTAAAGAATGATGACAATAACAATAATAGTAACGCAATGGGAATAGAAAAAAGTGAAGATGGATTTTAACCAGTCAAAAACTACTTATTGAAAGTGGCGAGAGTGGTCTTCCTTGTCTTGTTCCTAATCTTAGAAGAAAAGCTTTCAGATTTTTACCATTGAGTATGTTAGCTGTGGGCTTGTCATATATGGCCTTTGCACTCTGTACCCATCCTGAACCACCTGTGGCATGCTTTGCCACCCCAAATCCTGTACATTATCCTGGTCTTTCTTCTGTACTTTGATTTTCGGCACTTATTCTTTAAATATGAGCTTAGGCATCTCCATATCTCTATGCCTTCCCCTTCCCAAGTGGAACAGCTGTTCCCCTCACATGCTAGTGTTCATCGGGGGCATAAGCCTTCTTTAGCACCCAGTACCCTACAAGGTAGTCATCGATTCATTCACACAGCTGTATTACATGCTACAGGCTAAGCTACTTGGTATGCATTTTATACCCATAGTACTTAGCAAAGTCTGACAAATAGTGGGTTGTGGATGAATCTTTACTGAATGAATAAACAAATGGGTGAATGAGTGAGTGAGTGGTTCAAACCAGAATATATTTCCCACTGATCTATGGAGCCACAGACTTGAGAAGTGATCCCAATTATTTTATACCACTGGAAACCTATTGAACATTATTCAAAAGAAATTTCTTTCCACAGAAAATAGGGCTCTCTCACTAAAGGACTGTAATATGCACAGATAAACATTGTCAATAAAACATTGTCTCTAGATACACAGACCCTAGATACAAGGACATAACATACAGTTTGTAGAAAGTCTACATTGATCTGGGTCATTAGATAGTAGGCAATGGGGACACACTCACATTAAGGGAGTGGCATGATCAGAACTGGGCCAGAGGCAGTTAACGAGGTAAGTAAATCAGATAATTGTCCGATGAAGAAGTAGTAAGAGCCTGAAATAGAGAAATAGTAATGGGAATAGAAAAAAGAATGATGATGGGTTCTAACCAGTTAACAGATATTTACTGAAATCTCAAAGCACTAGTGTGAATAGGATGAGGGAAGTCAAGACTGATTTAAAAAAAAATGCATGGACTCTACTTCTTCTCCCTTTTGATGCTGCTCTGTGCCCTCACAGGCTGACCTCCATGGACTGTGTCTTGGAAGCTCCCTTGTCCAGTATTGTTTTTGACCAGTGGGAGGAACCAGCAGGAGATCAAAGGAAGGGAAGGGAGTAGAGTTTTCTTTCCCATTCCACATCCTTCTCTACCTCACCAGAGTTTGGTAGCAGCTGCATCCCTCTAAGACCACAGCTCATTTCCAGCAGCCTCTAGTCTGCATGCCAGGTCTTTCCAGACTCTTCGAATACCATTTCTTCTCTGTGCCACCTCAGGCATGAGTGGTAATGTCTCCCAACTCAAGTCAGTCTTTGGCGACTTTATCATTTTTATGGTTCATTAAGCCTGCCCAAGCCTATGAGAAGCGTGCATTCATTAAATTGTGTTCAATTTCACCGTTTGGGAGAGGCTTTTCTCTACTTCTGTGAGACTGTCTGATATTCTCATTTATCCAAAGGTTCTTATCAGGAAATAGTATAAGCTATGCAAATAGAGCTATCGTTAGTGGAATGTAGGCTTTGAAATATTCACAAATAACTGCCACAGAGAGAACACAGTACATACATTTGTTTAGTAGGAAAAGTTTCAAGCAAAGGGAGGAAATTCAGAGCCCCGTCTACACTAACATGGCCAAGTCTAGCCATGCTGTCTGTGGCAGTGCCAGTCATGCCAAGTCTTTGGCCAAGTCTTGAATGGCTTTCTCTAAACCACAGCATAATGGGATGTGAACTTTAACTTTCCATTTTTGATAGTTTGTGTTGTTACAGAAAGCCAAGAGCATCCCAGGGTTGGATATAAATTTATAACTAACCTTTAACATTTCTACCTACAATTCAGTGTCAGTAACCTTTTTTTGCCCTTTCCTCTCTTTATTTTTTTACTCTGAAAATTCTGTTTTTGTTAGTCCCTTTGAATGAGGTCCCCCTTTTAAACCTAACAATCTTTGGATAAATCACCACAAATTTATGGGTACAGGTCTCAATTTTTTTCTTTTACCAGAAACCATCTTCATCCATTTCTTTTAAGAGTAAAGTTCTATCAACGGAATTACAGACTCTAGAATAGTCTGGAAAAATTAACAGTAGTGTAGTTCAACCATTAATTTTTACAGATTCCCAATTTCGCTTGTCCCAATCAGTGTCAATTTTTTCAACCCACTGAATTTGTCTCTCTACTCACAGATTGCTGACCAGGGCTACCTGTGAACGAAGCTGCTTTTGAGGATACAAATAAGAGGAGGAAGTAGTCAGGGCTTGCTGCACGCCAACTGAGGTGTCACTACTAGAAGTTTTCATTCCACCAAGTCCTGTACTAGAAGAAATGATCCAAAATTGGGAAATCAGACTGGTGTAGAAGTCTGGGGGTAAAATCCTAGAATTCATCCTTAAAGAGTTAAGCAGAGACAGGAACAAAGAAGTGGCAAGAAGGGAAATGAGGTATAGTGTGTGCAATGGAGAAAATCTGCAATCCCACGTACTGCCCCGGTACACTTTGTCGACACGGGAGGGGGCTCTAAAGGGGCTGTCCTTTCATTTGGCTGTTTCGTGAGGTGCTTCTGCATTACTGCTTCTTCAGATCGCCCATCGAAAGTGTGCTGGAGGGGGTGTGTAAGCTGTCACCCCGTGGGGCATTGCAGAAGACCTCTGGAGTCAGAATGACCTGGGCATCCCTTCCTGAGCCTCAGTGTTGCTTCCTGGTGACTGAGATCATCAGGCTGTGAAGAGGAGGGGGCCAAACAGCTCTCTGGGAAGGATTAGAGTTGAGGCCATTGGGGCTTAGCTCAGAAAAGGCAAGCAAATTAGCATGCAACCTAGGAAACCAGAGCACAAGCCACCACCTCTTGTCTATAAAACTCAAAATTAGGGAACTTGTACCTTGGAGAACCCCTGGCATTTCAGATGCAAGGCTTAGAGACGTAAGATGTTTGACAGATCTGGGTATGAGGCTAATATGCTACCATCCTTGGTCAAGATCTAGTGAAGATCACAAACTAGATGTGACTGAGCCTACAATTTAGGCAATCTCAGTGCGAGCAGCTGAGTGAAGCTCTGGTAAGATGGTGAAGGACCTTCCTATTAAACTGAGGAGCACACAGTGAATAGATCAATGATTGTTCAGGATTCCTGGTAGCCCAAATGGATACTAGCAATTTAATCACAATGCAAACTCCCAATAATTTTTTGTGACTTAAAAAAAATGTAGCCTTAAAGGGACTTTCATTTTTCCTATTTTCCACTTGCATTTTACATTCTCTCTTTTGGCATATGAAGCTTGGGAATCCCTAAGTGCTTCTCTTTGGAAGGAATTGGAGTGGCTCTGGACAGATGGGAAAACACACCATCTGGTGTTATCACCATATGCAGTGTAAGTCTACATAACATAAGGGTGACTGGCCAATTGCCCAGATAACACCACTAATTCTCTGGATTTCCTGAACTTTTCCAAGATCTACTCTTCAACATGGGGATTTATTTTCAAGCAGAGCACTGTTCTGATTCACCCTAAAGAAGAAAAGAAATGAAAAGAATGCAACAAAGAGACTTTAAAATGCAGTATTTTTTCAGTGTGTGTCTCTGACTAGCATTCTTGCTTCCTAGAATTATCAAAGTCAGCAACAGTGGGACCATGAAAGGATCGTAGAATGTATATGGTATATCTCTTCTCTTATTTGGTATAATATTTTTTTCCAACTAAAGAAATTCCTTTTGCAAGGCTGTCTGAGGATTCTATCAGTGGAATTCCCACTAGATGCTGTACTGTACTAGAGGAAAATGTTTCCCTCTATTTTCTTAGCTGATGAGTCCTCAAGGGGTGTAAAAATGAAATCGCTACAAGTTCAGTAGAAAAGAAGTCTAATGACTCCAGAAAAGATGTAATTAATGGGATTGCTGTTGTCAAGTCACCTTTAGAGAAATGCTTGCCCGTGGACCTACAGGTACCTTGTGTTTTGAAAGGAACAGGTCTTGTGACCCTAATCCACTACCAGACGTGGCATTGCAGAGATGACCTACAGAGAGGAATCAAAGATTCACCCAACATTTTGTGGACAGAGACCATGACTTTCTTGGCCATCAACTTTGCTGAACAGCGAATACAAAGCTTGACACAGAGCAGTAGTTCAAAGAACAAATGAAAAAAGTAGTTTTTTTTTTATCTGATCCTACCTCTCTCCTAACTCTGCTTTTTTCCTTTTTCACTTCTCCTGTTTAACAAACTCATTTTTTCATTTTGTCATCACTTTTGTTGATTTTTCTCCATGTACACTTCATCTGTCCATTTAGTTTGACACATTCATAACAGCCCTTTGCAACATCACCCTAGGCACAGTGAGGCCCCAGATATACTCCTTTCTCCATATATTCCCTGCAGCTTAAAAATTAATGGGTTAGGAACCACCTTATCTGGATGGGTGGTTCCTGAAGATTTAATTCTGGTGATAACTGAGTGAAGAAGATAAATTAAGCCTTATTTTCTGAGAACTATCTTTTTATGACATAACTTCTCAACTGAGACGAGATAAATGTGATTGAAGCCAACTCTGAGATCCAATGCCATTTATTGGAACTAACTCCTAGAGTAGGACACGAGATGAAAACCAGCAATTCTTAATGACCAAGAATCTACGCCAGGGCATCCTCTATAGACTAAATGTTTGTGTCCACCCAAAATTCATATATTAAATCCTAAAGCCCAATGTGATGGTATTTAGAGGTATAGCATTTAAGAGGTGATTAGGACATAAGGGTGGAACCCTCGTGAATGAGATTAGTACCCTTATAAAAGACAGCCCAGAAAATTCCTTGGCCCCTTCCAACATGTGAGGGTACAGTGAGAAGTCAGCCATCTATGAACCACGAAGCAGGCCCTCCCCTGACACTGAATATGCTGGCACTTTGATCTTGGACTAGGCTTTAGAACTGTGAGAAATAAATTTCTGTTGTTTATAAGCCATGCAGTCTGTACGATTTTTTGTTATACGAGTCCAAAAGGAGTAAGACGGCATCCTTAATAAATTTTACCAATAGTTTGGCCTAAATTCTGTATGCGTTGGGGGTGTGTGGTTTATGTTGATGTGATGAGTTGTAGCAATTCACAAATGAGATGGATTTCCTTTTAGCAATTTCCATAATCTCAACAGAGGTAAACTCAAACACTTTAAAAAATGGTTGTATATGGCTATGTATTGTAAATAACATAGAAAGCAGGGGTTGTGGTAACAGATGTTTGGATACAGAACCACCTGTTCCCTGAGTCATTTGGAGAAGGGGCAATCTCAGCAAGGCTCTCTTTTCCTTAAGTCTGAATTGCCAATTCGGATTTCTTGGTCACGTATATATGAATGACCCAGTATATGACTCTTTCCTAATTCTTTTCATTGTTTACTAATCCCACAAGATCAGTAATAGTCTTACATCCATTTCTTTTTCCAAACAGAAGGTTTTAGTATATATTGCGTGTAATAGAGCTAAGAAAATGACAACTGCCTTCTTTGAAGTGAATGGGCTTTCCTCATAATTTGTCCATTTTTGGAAAGATTATTCATATCTTTGGCTTTGAACAGGTTGACTCCATATAGTATTTTCTCCACTTTTCACATTCTACACACATAAAATTCTAAGCAAGTCACTTGGTGATTTAATCAAATGAAGGTGAGTCACGAATATCTTCAACTTGTCAGCATGCTCACTAGCTGACTCCAATCAATGGATATAGCACTTATGTTAGGCAGGAAAATAGACAGGAGCAGGGTGGAAAGAGAGTAAGGCCAGTAAAGCCCATTAGAAGGGACTGAAATAGTTAACCAGTTAAAAATAGAAAGCTCAGAAGTCCAGGAGCAACTTGACCTACAAGTTT